TCTACTTTTGGTAAGACGAAAAATACAAATATTTCATTTACCCTACACAAACAAATACCTTATTTTATTGGAAAGCTGAAAGATAATTAAGGTTTAAACACTTTGGCGGAAATGAAAATGCTTCGAGTAATCGATATGGCTGCTGGATATCTTCCAATAGAAATAGTGGGTACCTTCTGTGGCGGTCATGCTATACCGAAAGACAGTGATGAAGAAACGCAAACGAATTTAATCATAGACGAAATGATCCCAGAAATAGTAAAGGAGAAGCAGGAGGGACGCTTAACCGCTATCAAAAATATTGACGTGTTTTGCGAGAAAGGAAATTTTGGTGTGGATGCAACGTTCGTTTTAAATAGTCTTATTGTTCTTTTCAACCCTTCGTATGACACATACATAACAAATTTTTAAAAGAATGATATTTTTTTCGCATCGAACTAATGTTACTGTCTAACAATTGCTTTTAGACGACGGATATTAGCAGCTGGAAAAAAACATGGATTAGACATCAACTTTCATGCTGAAGAGCTAAATTATATTGGGGGAGCGGAAATGGGCGCGTCCCTCCAAGTCAGTATCTGCTTTTACTTAAAATACCAGCGAAAATAAAGAAGATGGCCTGCTGAGTACCAAAAACCAGTTTCAGGCTCGAGCAATGAGCCATCTGGAGAATATTAGTGAGGAGGGTATCAAAGCAATGAGTGCTTCTGGAACTGCTGCAGTGCTGCTACCCACCACGGCATTTACTTTGAGAATTAAACCTCCACCAGCGCGCCAAATGATAGATGAAGGAGTTATTGGTAATTTAATTTCTGATCTCCTGTTCTTTTCCTCAAGGGGGGCCTAAAACTGGTTGTTCATCGTGTTAAAGCATGGAGCATGGAAACTTTATTAAAGAATACCTTTTAAGAAAAGTTGATTTTGAATGCTTCACCTTACTGTTGCAGTTGCCCTCGGATCCGACTTCAATCCGAATGCGTACTGTCTAGCCATGCCAATGGTTATGCATCTGGCTTGTATCAATATGAGGATGTCAATGTCAGAAGCTTTGGTTGCGGCAACTATCAACTCTGCTTATGCCCTGGGCTTGGGAAGAACGCACGGCGCTCTTACAGCGGGCCGATATGGCGATGCTATAGTAATAAGTAAGTTCTGGTTACAAAATTCCTATATTTATGGATGTTACCACCTTTACCTTTGAATGCAGCGTCCTAAGTAACAAGAGAGAAAGAACTGGCTGTGATTTAAGACAATATTGAGCTACTTTTGACGAAGTTTTCTGAACTTAGTCAGCAACAACAAGTGTTCAAATAATAAGGATCAGAGATTTTTAAAATACTTTTTTTTGCAGACCAGCCAAAATGGGAACATTTAATATATCAGTTTGGTTGTCACAATTTCATTATCGATGCTGTGATTAAAAATGGAAATATTGTATACTCTAAAGAACCTTTATAACCGTATCTATTTTAAATCTGTTTCTGTTTAAATAGACTTAATCAATATCAAGCTTATCAAGTTATTGGCTACTGTATTAATTATCGGAAAGGTTTCGCCAACAATGAAGCTGGATACAGAATGATAATCACAATTGTCTATAAAGTTTTGCGGTGTGTAAAGAAGCCTACTTAGTTAAGTGTGATGTTGCGCTTCATGGACACATCCGAAGGCATTACAAAATTTTGTAAAATGGGCGTCGACTGAGTGCTGTGTAAACTACCTTGCCTTCAACTTCATTTACTATTGAAATTAAATGAAATAAAAAAAATAAAGTTCAGTATTTCAACAAGAAATTACATCTTGTAGTTACAAACTAGTAATTTCTGAAGGCTAATTGTTACACATTACTTTGGTGAGAAAATAGGGAGACAAACTGTGGTCAACTTTAGTGACTCGCAGTCAACTAAGTCCTTCAAGACTGGTATCTATTTTCTGCATTGAAGATGGTGTGGTATTACTGGTGATTGCTGTAGATATCTCTTAGAATAAGTTTTACTCAGCTGCTGCTTTTATATAAATTTGTCTCTTGAAAAGATACCCATTCTTATTTTTAAAGCTTACATATTTGCTCATTTTCATAAACGCTGCTAGACTGCATAATTTCGAACACAGTTCCCACCCTCAATTTCTCTATTTTTTTTATAAAGACCCTATTTCAACCGTAGCTATCTTCAAAACAAAAAAAATCAGTAAATGCCGCTCTTCCACAATTAGGGCAGGTTTCCGGATATACAGACTTCATCTGAACTAAAACTGGAAGAACTAGTAGCTTTAGCCAATGATACGTGTGATTTATGCAGCTTCAGAGGTCAACAAATAATAAAGTTAAAAACGAGACAAGAAAGTCAATGACGTCATTGCGTTAGGCTGCCAGCAACTGGCTATTTGCCAGGACTTCTGGAAGCGCCGATTGAGAACGAGCTTGTGTTTATATATAATGTTTATTGTAAGTTCATACCTGTATAATCTCACTAGTGTTAAGATTTATATATGTATCTGCTCAGCGGTATTCAAGAAGTAGGTAAACAGGATTTTTGGGTAATTTCCTGGTTCAGCGGCTTCGTAAGCAGTCCATCTTCAGCGGGACGTTCCGCGCTCGTACTTAATTACCGTACGATAGGGGCTGGACAAAACTCCCAACCTCAAGAAAAGGTTTTGTTAAGTGGCAACCACCGCAGTTTTGAGTTTACTAGCAATTGATTGTAGAAAGCTAGTTTCGACTGTCGTTGAAATTCAGCCAAGAGGCTGGAAAGGCGGCTTTGAGTGCTGTTTGTCTGTTTGAACAGTCTCTGGATACCAAAAAGTTTAGATCGCTAGCTAAAAAAATTGGGAACCATTCGGCTCTGTTAGTCACGAATTACTTCTGTTTCGTCCCTCCCTCGCACCAAAGTCTTTAAGGAATTGTGGTGAATTCGCGGTATATTGCTTCTCTAACCAATGGATGGCAAGTTTCTTCACATTATAATCTGTGATAGCGAAGGGGTTATTGCTGTTCGACTCTGATTTCCTTAATGAACTGTCATGTAATGGAACCCATCATTTTACCTCCTTCTTTCTGCATCAAATTCTCCTTTCTTCTAATGGGCTACAATTTTTTTTGCAGCCAGTATTCTTCTGCTGGTGCTTCTTTTTGGAAACTAAGTTCGGCGGCCGTTGTTGTTTTAATTTAATATACTGGCTGAGAGGCGAGCCAGAACTCTATGCGAATTATTCCGGTGTTGCGTTTCCTGATTCTTCTTGCAAAGTAGGACTTTAAGCAACTCTTATGTCCTATGGCGTCGCTGGATTAATACTGAATAAACTTTGAGACTTTTCTGTCGAAACATCGAACTAGGTTATGCAGGTCTCGATCTACATCACTTCAAGCGATGAAGGAAGCATGGATAAAGTGAATGTTGACACAAACCTGTATTTGCACTTACAGGGAAGGGTTTTTAGAATTGCAGAGGGAAACGTCTCTTTTATTTCTATTTTTTTATTTTTTTATTTTATTTTTTTTTTTTTTGCGTAAAGGACTGGCAAACTTGAACACAAGCCTTAAAAGAAAGTTTTTCTGGTCAAAAAAGCTTTTTGCTGTAATGCTCATTTATAGTTGTAATGCAGGAATATATCTTCTTGTAGGGATTGTTGAATCTTCGTTAATTTTCATTTCTCGCTTTTACTGTTTTTGACAGCACTGAAGTAAAGTAAAGAGACAATAAACCAAAGCAGATAACTTACGAAATAGTCAGTAAATAACCAGTGCAGGTGCCAATTACTTAGCGGAGCGGCAGCGTGCTGTAATTTATAACTTACTTTCTCTGCTTGTACTGTCTTTACCTTTATAGGTTGGTTTGGATGACGCCTGACGACAATACCAGGGAAGAAGCTAAATTTACTAATTTTCAAGGTGACGTGGAATGTTCTTCTGGGGCTGTCGATGAGTTCGAATTATACGAAAAAACATGTGATTTACACCGTGCATCAAAAGCCCATAATCGTGGTTTGTTTTCTTCTTATGTTTCTACTTTTTTTTGCATTTTGTTGAAGGAAACGGAATTGTTTCCCTCTATTTACGTTAGAAAGCGAAGTTGGCTACGAAATCTTTGTATATTTTAACTAGTTTTTTTTT